TAGCTTTGATTCTGTCCAAATCGAAGATCGTAAAATGTCGTATGCGACCTTGGGTTAATTGTTTCTTCCACCGACTATACCCTATTACACTTTGAAGTTCACCGGACCGCTATCCCACTTCGCTTTCTTCGTCACGCGACGCTACACTGGATGATCAAATTATTAGAGCCACAGTACGAAAAATCTGTTTTTCGTGTTTACGTAGAAATAAAATCACAACAACAAAGTTTTTACACTGGATAATTTTCAATTAACAATTGTCCACTAAAGACACACAGGAAAGTTAAACTTAGCTTATGTAGTTACACAAGATGCAGTTAAGAAGTAACAATAAAATCAGTATTTTGAGAAATATATGTGCAATATGCATTTTGAGTAATTTACTATACATTACAAGCAGTAAAAACACAGCAACAAAAATTAAAATACTCAAGAAGATAATGTCCATAAATATTGCCGAAAGTGTTGCCAAGTGAAAGAAAGAAAAAATAATAAGAATTCAGTGTAACTGAACTCTCGTCTAAAAATGAATCCTGTTAGTATAAAACCGTCAATTCTTTGCAGGTAATTCTAATAATTTGATCCAAATTTGTAATTGCGACCTTTTCGGCCAATAACCAAAATACACGTGCTCTGTGTTTTCGATTATGTAAGAGAAGGTGTGCCTATTCCTTCCGCTAGCCAACTTCGCTTCTCCGCACAGTACATACAGGTTACTATTACAAAATAAGCATCAAAGACTTACGTAACGTTGATCGAAAATTTTCCAAGTATTTGTCACAATTTAACTGTCACCTTCCGTACGTAATAAACTCTTCAATGTTTTCCTTGTTTGAACTGATTGCGTCCAGAAATTGCCCGATTGTTGGGCTTATTTGTGTCGTCATTGTTCGTAGCGGTAGACTAGCCTGCCTCTATGTGTCTGCCTATATGTATGCCTTTGTGTTTGTCTTATCATTTGTTATCTGTGGTGGACTGTTGTACATTACATCATCGCTACTATCTTTAATCAAACGCCAAGAATATAATATTGTGGAAGCAATGTGTAAACGTAAGTGTTCCGACAAATATAAATATACATAGACGTAATTTATCGTTGTATTATTTGTAACAATATTCACGTTCAGGATAAATATAGAAAATTGAAAATATTTCACCATTGTAGAGGAAGTTTTATGTACATAGAACAATATTGTTGTACCGCAAGGCTATACCTATTATCTCCCAGTTATTTCTACACTTTGTTCTTGTATTAATCTACATACTAATGAGAATTAGATTTTCAGTTTTTCAATTTGCAAGAAATCGTTTCTCGATAAACAAAGTCAAACGTTAATATAGAAAATTTTGATTACCTCGAAACCGATAATAAATAGTCGACGCAGAGAAAAATGTGAACGAAGTGTTAGTACAGTTTTCAAGGTTTTCATTGTTTAAGAACTGGGTCAACGAAATAGATTCGCGAAATGGTAATTAGCGTGTAACAAGTTTTTGTCGCGCTACAAATTTTAGCATACCGATAAAGGGAGAATTTACGACCGAGTGAAATTATGCTACCGAAAACGATACCGTACATTTTCGAGTAATATTTAAGACGAGAGAAACGATCACGCTGTTTGTTTGATTTGCAATTTAGAAGTGGAGGTAAAAAGTGAAACGGTCCTCTGTATTTTTACATTGCCTTTCAAGTAGCATGATACGCGCAGAACCGACAGTTGAAAAATTCACTTTTAGCAACTGCACACAGCTTCACGAAGTGTAATATTTTTGCAAGTTTTTTGCTCCAATTTATTCATGTACATTTCCTCAAATTGAATACACCGACACTACACCAAATGTGGCGAGCTAACCTCACTTTTCTGCCGTACAACATTGAAGGAAGTAACACGTTTTAAAAATGTGAAAAAAAATGAGAAAAGAAGTATATCGATAATTTATCAAATAATACAAATACGATAGAATTCTTGAAATAGTGTTGTTAAACATACATTACTACGTCGATAATCCCAAATTCACGAAGAATATATTTTTAGTTTGTTTCAATGTCGTCCATATTAGATGTGTGAATTTTACACTTCTTTTTGTACTTCTCGTTTAACATTCTATTTTATATTTTACGTTTTACACTTCAATTTCGTTGCACATTTTCTGTTTCTGTTTTTTTGTTTGTTAGTAGATTCCTGTGTAGTTCGATGTATTTTCCTCATATGTACGTGTCTTTGAAATTTTACGCTATGTGTATTTTGTTTCTTATGTGTATTATAATTTTGACCCACTTCCGTGTAGTTTTACGTAATTCCGGTAGGTGAAGGTCTCTGGACAGAAGGGCCGAATTTTCTTTATCTAATATAAATGCTAATTACTGTTCTGTTTTATCTGTTTTACGTGCATATAGTTTAACTTTCGTTGAAGGATCCTTACAAGTAATATGTCTTCAGCACTGTGTGTATTTCATTTGTTTATGAAACTTCTCGAAATTTTACGTTACGATCAATCAAACGTTGTTACGTATTGCATAATTATCGCACAACCGCGTGTACAAGTGAAAGAAATAATTCTTCGATTGCAAATTGCATTGCCAATGTGTATACGCTTTAAAACACATTTTGTTCACGTAAATGTTTATTAATTCTTTCGTGCTTTCGTGTCTACTTTAATCTACGTGTACCGCCTTTGTACAGTGTAACATGTTCTGAAAGGTGGTTTGTTAGAAACAGAAGCCTAATTACCTACCGTTGCCATTAAACGTATTCAAATTTAGGAAAATTGGATTTAAACTGAATTGGATGTTCAACAACTTGTAACAACCTTTCAAGGTAATCTACGTTCTGTCGCCTTTTGCAATAATTATCTTTAAATACGTTGAACAAATTGAAATGGTATTACGTTTGTTGCAAAGCATAATACGAGAAGTAACTTCAATGTAACTGAGTAATTAAACATACTTTCGACTAAAGGAACGTGTTACATACAGGGTGGAGCAGATAAAGTGTTGCAAGCTGTTTTCTGCAGAGCCATTGCAGATATGCAACTTGAAATTTTCAGGTGTTAAATGGTATAGAGGGGAGAATAAAAAGAAATTTCTTAGATAAAAGTTGTTAAGTTTGATAATATAGTTCCGAATATAGAATAATTAATATACCATTCTGTTTAAAAATAATGGGGGTGACAGCCTTTCCACCCTGAAGAAATTCATCCGAACAATATTCTACCAAAATGTTGACCCCATTACACCATTTAACACCTGAAAATTTCAAGTTGATACCTGCAACGGCTTCGGAGAAAACAGCTTGCAACACTTTATCTGCTCCATCCTGTACACATACATGTACACGGTGATGCATAAATAGCGTCCACCTGGAATATTTCCGTTACTTGTAATGATATGGAAAAATGCATCACATTATGTCACCCTCCGTATCGTGCAAATTTTGCATACAACTTTTCTCCATATTGTTACATATACAGGAAATATTCCAGATGGACGGTGATTTTTCTTGCACCACCCTGTATGTCATTATTCGGAGCGATATTGAGTGTTCGAATACTGAAAAAAAGAAGTTTAACGTGAAAAAGGAATGAACGCATTTCACATGCTCTGTAGAATCCATCGAATCTGGGATCTTCAAACGGGAACGGAGATAATTAGGTATTCTGTTTGAACTGGTACGTATGTAAAATCGAACGAAAATGAACGCTTGCGATAAAGATGTTCCTGCGCGTTTGCGTGATTTTTGCTATGGCCTTGATAAACGCATCCCCATTTCGTACACATTTCTCCAAATACGTTCATTTTGATATGCCCTCTTTGTGCAGCTTTGTATCTCGTATGCGCAACTTTCTGACCAGTTTCTACATTATTATGACATGTACCGGGTGTCCCAGTTGTTTCCGATAAAACTTCGCCAGTATGTTCTATGGGTACAAGTGAGAAGAAAAAGTTATACAGACATGTGTCGTTTGAAGCTTTGTTAAAAAGTTACAACAAAAATATAGAATACGCATGGGAATGGTAACAAACTTACGGTTGCTATGATACACGACAAGAAGTTACATTCAACACCTTCAACGACCTCAGATCGTAAACACAGCTCGCATAAACGCCGATCTATTCCCATTTTGTATCATAACCGCACATCCGTTACCATCTCCTTCGTGTTTCTTATTATTGCTATAACTTTTTAACAACGCTTCAAACGACCTACGTTCACATAACATTTTCTTCTTACTTACACCAGCAGAACACACCGGCGAAGTTTGATCAAAAACAACCGGGACACCCTGTATATACGTTTTATACGTTCAACTAGCACGCAGTATATTCTAAAACGTATATGCATTTTACTCTGCCCGTACAATGTGTTTAGATGCGTTCTTTCTATCAATGAATGTTCTCACCTGTTTCGCATTTATGTACTACACACGTCGTTTGTTGGCATCACACATATTCAGCTGGTCCAGTCGATCAAGCATATCTGCGAAATAACAAGCGGGTTCTTTTCTTTCGCCTCGTTTATTATCGAGCTTCGATCGTTAACGCTCTCATTCAGCGCCGCGTAAAGTACCTCCCCCCACCCGGAAGCTCTTAACTTATTTAGAATAGATTATTATTTGCATTCTTCTTTTATTCACGTCGTTTCCGCGCCTTCTTATTTTATTTCGAGCGTTCGAAGCGTTCGTTTCCCTCAAGATGTTATTTTAATAAACATCCGTCGATCAACGTTGACATTATTTCACGCGGCGCTGAACGAACGCGTCGACGAGAGATGCCCCGTACTAATCGACCGAAGGAAAAATCTGTTTGTGCCGATTTGAATGGCTAAAAGAATAGAGCTTCTCATGTGAAGCTTTGAACAATAAAGTTTCGGCTGGTCTGGAAGTTTGTTCGAACGGTAACGATCGACTGAGAACTTTCGAAGCAAATCACCACCGGCTCGCTTCCACTTTGCCAAATAAGATTGTTGTTTTACACGGTTCTGACGTTGTTCTTGGTCATGCAGGTCGTGTTGGATGTCCACACTTCATGGCGCCGGAAGTGATCCAGCGCAGACAGTACGGGAAGCCTGGTGACGTCTGGTCAGCTGGAGTGCTACTTCATGTCCTATTAACTGGTACACTTCCATTCGTCGGCTCTCGAGATAGACTGCGAGAAGCAATTTGCAGAGGACGAGTACAGGTAGAAAAATTGACCAGACATCACACTTTCTCTCTGCTTTTCTTCTTAACCCTCGGACAGCGGATCACGCGATAGTCGCACGCACAGCTGATGCTGGGTCAAATGTGACCCAATACTGAAATCTCTTTCGTACGCAAGAGAAACCGCGTTTTTTTTTTGTTTTTGTTTGTTTTACTAGGTTATTATATGCGGTTCAAAATTATAGAAATATAGAATAATAGAGAATAACGAAGATATTTATAATGTAAGGAGAGACATCTAAAAGCCGGGTCAGCGGTGACCCGGCATCCGCCGTTCGAAGGTTAAATATAACGATAATATGTCCGAATGTTGCAATTTATATCGACGCATCTAGCTTACATTCAGCACGTTCTTGTTGCACGAGAAAGGTGTTAAATTCATAAGGTAATTCATAAAATTTGCAGATGGAAACGCCATTGTGGGACAATATCAGCGAGCCGGCCAAGGAACTTATACAAAGGATGCTCACAACGGATGTAAATCATAGGATTACCATACAGGAAGTGCTTAACCACAAATGGCTCAGAGTAAGTCACACCTTGTTGAATAAACTTCAGAATCAGAATAAAGGTTACTTTTTTCCTTTTATTATTAGCCCTATTGTCAAACTTTCTCTCGATGTATCGGAGTGGTTCACGTCGAGGTTGAACAAACGAGATCGATACAAATGTATTTTAAATAAACTCTAAAAACTGTCTTTGGAAAAATTTCAAAGTAAAAACTTTTACCAATGATATTGAAAAATAAATAATTGTAGGTAGTTTGTTGTTAGATCTATAGTCAAAGTTTCGTTGAAGGATATTTTGCAAGCTTTCGGTACAAATGTATTTTAACTAAGGTCTAAAATCCTCTTTACAAAGATTTCATTGTAAGAAGTTCCATTGAAAAGATATTGAAAAATAAATTGTAGGTAGTTTTAAAGCTGAGGATAACTCGATTGTTGCGTTTAAGGGGGCACATCACCCCAATGCTAAAAAATGAGGAAGAAGCTTAATTAGTATTGTGGCTATGGTCTGAACGAAAGTAAAATGAAAATATTGATTATTTACAAAATGGCAGCATTTTGAATTTAGATTATGGATTTTTTTAGCATGTTAAAAGAATAAGAAAAAAATTGCATTATTACGCGTTGAAATCTGCCACAGTGAAAGGGTTAATGGGGTAAATCACTCTGATGCGTCTAAAAAGAAGGAAAAGTTTGGGAATTTTTTTTACAGGTAATTATTAAATAAAAGGTTTCAATTTTTTCAGAGGATGCAAACGTAACTTTCAGCTTTTTTCTCCAATTGTCAGAAAGTAAAAATGTTACAAAATGGAGGAGGAGTTATTCTCTAATTGCGAAACCTCTTCTACTAGAACATCGATTGCTTGCCGCCATCGCTGGCAAGGATTCGGACGTCTGAAATCAAAATTTCTTTCTAATTTGTAAATAAAAATATACCATCTACAGTATAGTCTAAGATTTTCCAAAAATTGTACTTATTACAGAAATGGTGGCAGTTCGAAGAGGAAACGTCTCTTTTCACCAAAAAAGTCAACTTAAAACGTTTCCAAAAAATGAAATAATCGACACATCGAAAAAATCTCACGGTACATTGTAGATAATACATTTTTATTTATGAATCAACAAGAATTTTTAATTTCAGACGTTCCAATCCCTGCCAACGATGGCGGTCAGCAATTGACGTTCTAGCACAAGAAATTTCTCAATAATTCCTCCATTTTGTAACATTTTCACTTTTTAAAAATTTGAGAAGAAAGTTGAATGCTACGTTTATATCCTCAAAAAAAATTGAAACTTTTCACTCAGTAGTTACCTGTGAAAAAAATTCCCAAACTTTTACCTATTTTTAGACGCCCCCGGTGTGGTGTACTCCCTTAAAACAGTAGGTAAGGTGAGATTATTAAGAAGTGTACCTATAACTTACAATAGAAGTGTAGCTATTTTTAGTATTAGCATATATTCAAGCATTCACGTTAACAACTTCTATTTAACGGGATGATACAAGCGTATCTGCTTCTTTTTATATCGTATCAGGTTTTCGATAAACGGCCTCATTTTCTGTTATTATATCCGGTGAATGTGCGTGCGCATGTGCACGGCATATGGTGTAATAAAGTGAGAATATATCTATATGACACGTCAGTTAGCCAGTGACCTAAGGTAGCCAAGCTTGGAGTCACCCCATATATCGATGCAATACACGTGCAACTGGGCTATCGATCGCTATAGCAGGGGCAAAGTTCCACCGGTTAATGAAAATAACTGTAGCGGTGTATATTTTTCTCTGTGCTAGTTACAGTTTTTTGAACGTGACTGCACATTTGCAGGATGCCCCAAGAACTTCATAGAAACGAGTATAGTAATCGTGATATACATCTTAACGTAACG